GTGTTGATCTTAATTTTTTCGACATTTTACCGGAAATGCCAGAAACCTAGGTTTACAAAGAGCGTACTTAAAATGAGCTTAGCTTTTTTTGGTAAAATCGGTGTAATTTATATCTATCCATGTCCGCTTCGTTGAGTCCATAGATCCACCTCAATCGTTTTTTAACCTACTTTCGGTGATACTATTTGTTATTTTGTATTTTTAATGTCATACAGTTTTTAAGTCACAGTTGTAATTCAGACGGCAGCTTGACGAATTTTAGGTAAACCATGTTTTTTTTTTGGGTAATATTTCCCCGCCTGGCGGGTGCGGCATGTTCCTATGGGTTAAGTCGGTCTCGCGCTGCCTAAAACCTCTTTGTGTCTCATCTGCCGCTTATAAGTAATGACGAGGGAATCATCATTTGCTTAAGGATGGAGAGAGGCGACGTATCCTTCTTCATCAAACCCACTAGGGGGGGGGTGGAATTAGTTTATTTGTATCCATTTATACTCGTGTTAAGAATTTGAAATATTTTGAACTGGCTTTTCGCCCCACGGTGTTAACCGCGTCCGAGTTGTAAAGTCCAGGCAGTAATGACCCACGCTTATTATGAGATCGCATAATACGGAAAGCTCAAATTATCACGGAAAATTTCTCAAATTTCGTAATGTTAATAATCGCAGATTATAAGTTAGATAAACACCTAAAACAATTTGTAATAATTCGTCATACAACATACAACCTCTTGAGCTTTAAATTTTCCAAAATGTTTTCTTAGTGAATGCCTATTTCATCTAGATTCGAGTCAATTGCCCCGTTAAATAAAAAGTTTCATATAAACTGAAACACCATATTTCATCCTTAAGGGTTTAAATTTTCAGAAATCGTTTCTTAGTGGATGCCCATGTCATAAAAGGCATCCACTGTCCAAATTTCAGATTTTTTACGTCAAGCTGTTTGGGCTGTGCGTTGATAGAGGAGTCAGTCACTTAGGACATCCTCTTATACTCGTATATTATATTCTTTGAAAAGATTGGTACAAAGCATCGTTAAATGTAACGAAAGAAGTAGAAGGATGATTTATTTAAACCTCGTTTCACGCAGTAAGATCCGTACTTCTCCGTTTTTATATTACGTTAGTTCTAAAAATAGAAATCAGATGTATTAGTACATCGGGACACTGAAAAAATTATTTTGAATGCAATGAACGGGACAACTAGTATCTCGTTAAAATGAATCTGCATCTTATTGGTGTTTTCTATTCATAAATCATTAGATACATGGACACACCCAAACCCAGGCTTAGCATAATTTGTGGCCATACAAATACGTAGGTAGGTACTTCCTACATACGGTAATTGAACCCGCGTCCAAAAAGCCGCTGCGGTATTCAAGTACTAAAAGTTATATATAAGAAAAGCGTTATCAATCAACTTCTTATAAATAGCTGATTTCTGGGATTTAAATCCCAAAACTATTACTTGATGGAAGAGGATTTTTGAATTACACGTACATTGGTAAGAAAACAAATACCTATTATTTTTATAAAAATATTTTTAATAAAAATATTTGTCTTCGCAACGAATACAATAAGTAGTTGTTGTATTAGAATCTGTTAATGACATTTTGATAAAAAAAAAATAGATTTTAGTATATTTTTATGATTTTCAAGGTCATAGCTCACTGGTGAATATTTTTTTTCGGTTTTAGGAGCGCACCAGGCCCTAGGTGTGCTCCCGTGAGAATAAAAAAACATAGACACAGCATTGTTATGTTTTGGGCAGACTATGTTTCGTAATATTTCTTTTTTTTTTTTTAATATAAATTTGAAGCTTACAGTCCACTTAATAGTAAGTGGATACTACATACAATGGACACTTGCGATCATCTTATATTAAAGAAGGTTACAGATGCGTAGCCACCACTGTGAACTAAGATGGAATGCCGCACAGTCTGTTGTACTGAATCATGTATTCCGTTCTGAAGGGTCTGCTGATTGGTGGCAGAAATAATAAGAGGCTGTTGTTACCTACAGCCGGATTACTAGTATTTGTATTTGAAATTATGTCGAATATTCAATTCTGGGCAATTTATAGTTTACACAATATACAATATGTAACGCTGAATTTTTAGTTAAACATTTTTATGCACTGATTATTTATCAAATTAGTTATACAAATTCCGGAAGAATGTTGTCACAGTACAAATCCATGAACGCGAAGACTTTAACGCGCTTGAAATAAAGTTCATTTTTCTTTAATTGAATGACAGAATTAGTAATGGTATAAATAAAACTGCACTCTTAAAAGTCCTTTACGTTGCGGTCCGTTTCAGTTTGTTTATCTGTACAGATTTAGTGTGACTGTAATTTACGTAGTTTTAATTATTTTTGGGATAAAAAATTACCTACATTAAAAATGATCGGAATTGATTCTGAACAAACTACTTTCTCAAAGTGCGTTAATTATGTTACGTGTTGTGGATGTCGCTTATTACCTAATTCCATTTACATACAGTGTCCCGATTTTAATAAGCTTAATAACTTCATAAAGTTGAAAAGTTAAACAAATAGGTACATATTTAAAATAATAAGCTTCGGAAGTGTGTGCTAGACAGTGTATAGAAGAATTAAGGCCTCGCCAGCAGCTGTTACGTAAATAGTATTATAATTTTTAGTTCTTTGAAAAGCTTTTATTAAAAGTTTAATTTTTTTTAAACTAAGTGATAACAACACAATCTCAATATGACATCGTCTAGAATTACGTAACATAGGTACTTAATACAGTCTCATTGATAACCTATTTTTTTGACGTTAAATAGAAAGCACCAATTTTTGCTTAAATATATTTACAACTTCAATTGTAACTTGTTTATCAAGTGCTGTACTTTTGAGTCCTACAATATCCTTTTTAAACCGCTTCCAATATTGTATTGCTGTATCTCTTATTGAAGAAAGGATTTGGCGTAATTGCTAAACTAATAAAATATTAAAAAAATTCTATAACTATTAAATTTTTTTACTTGTTTTGTAAGTTATTAGTGCAATTAAATGTTTTTCTTTGCTTATGGGTTAGTTATGTGACATCCGATAGCGTAATGGCTATAATGTACGGGCATTTTTTTAGTTCCAGGTTCATTTTCTAAGAAAAAAATTATTTTAAATTACTAACTGTTTTACAATACTCGAAGTGCGTATTTTATGCGCCATCGTAAGTTACCGAAGCTGGTATTTCTTATAAAACTATAATGAAACTGGTCTTAATTGTGGCCTAAACGGTTGTTGAAAAAAGGAACCACGCATTAGTGATCGTAGTACCAGACTGCTAGCTTCGAGTGATGGGTTTTTGTTCACATTAGTGGAAAATACCAATTGTTAGTTTTCGGTTTTGGATGTGATTACATACCTGTTTGATTGACACGGCATTCGAGACTACCTTGGGTCTTATTGCTCAAATGCTACAACTTACAATGATATGTTACGAATGAGTGACTGATATTATTCTGTGAAAATCAAATTATCGTCTCACATTTTAGTAGGTATTATCGCTAAAATTGTAATTAAAATATTTTTAAGGAAATTTATGTCTTTATTAAATAGTTTACAAACATAATTAAAAAAAGACTTCAAAGTGTATGTATACACTAACTGATAGTTCGCGACCAATTATTATGGTGACCAGTTTACCTACCTACTAAACTCGTGCACCTATATTTGAATGCTAGTTAACAAATTATGTATTATTATTTTTTTTGCGCCCGAAGAAAATATGGGCAACCCTCCGGAAAACGGGGGAGGGAGGTGGGGAATGCTCATAGCGCCGGCTGCGTGGTTATGTGGAGACTTACCCACTAAACCCCACCTTTTAGGGGCTGGCTTAACGGTCTAACTAGAGATCTCTAAGCCGTATACGAACGCGACCCTCCTTGGCAGAAAGGAGGGCGCAAATGTATTATTTTACGGGTTTATTGTACTGCACACGCACCATCTTCGGTTCTTTTCGAAATAGTAAGTAACATCGAGTAAATACGAGAAGGTGGACATAACAACAAGCGAATGCAGACTTAAGATATTAATTCCTACAAGAATCTTCGTACTGGATCACAAGACTCATGTTAAAATGTCATGTCACTCATGATGTGTACCTGTACAAAACCCTTAAGAGGAGGAGATTATATTAATGTTCATTATTAAACGGATGCAATAAATTGTACATAATTATTACGTATTCCCATTTAGGTAGATTACATATTTATAACTACGCTTTATGTTAGGATTTACTTTTTACACGACAGTGAAAGTAAACGTTGACGAAATTACAATGGAAATTGTTTAGCGTTGAAAAAATTTAAGGAAGAGCGTCTGTAGCATACTAATAGGGTGGGGACTGCAAACTCCAAGAGTTGTGGGTTCGAATCCCCTATTCGACTACTGTGGTTGACCACTCTTAACACAAGAATCTCTGAGCTTACGCGAGTGGGTAACGGAAGTATTAGTAATGTTTATAAAATCACTAGTATTCTTGGTGTATTTAAATAAAATTGTGGTTTTACATAATTCGTTCTATTCAAAATATCTTACAAGTGATATATATATATATATATATATATATATATATATATATAATATATAATTAAAATTTATCGAAATTCAAATCATATCCACCCTACTTTATGAACGGCAATAAAACAATAAATTTAGTAGGCATCTTTGGGTCACTTCATAGTGTCACAGGCTAGGGTGGATATGATTTGAATTTCGATAGATTTTAATTTATTTAATTCAAAATTTTTGTTCTTATTTCCTGTATATATTAGGTAGGGACTAAATGTATGTACCTAATATTTTCAAACATGTATTACAAAATTAGCCGTTAACGGCTCAATTATCTCGTAAACTATAAGGTCATAACTTTAAGCATAATGATAAACCCGTTATTAATCATTTTAGGCTATTTGAGACATGTATTTTCATTTATGCACTCTTCAATTAGTAAATGTATTTTTTTTTTTTGTTACAGCCATGTTGCTACTCGAAAGTGATATGTTTATGGATGCACTCAATGCGTCAGCTACAAATAAAAAAGAGCCTAAGAAAAGGAAACGACGGATAAGTGGGTCTAAAGATGGAAATGCGCCAAACGAAACTTCTCCACCTGCAACACCAACTAACATTACAAGTCCCAATAGCGAAAATAAATCGGTGCCTCCAAGATTCTATCAAGATACATTAGATACTGAGGAGAATAAGCAAAACGTGAGTGAGAAAACTTCTGTAAGCAGTGAAGTTACAGAAAATGATAAGGATCCTGAAAATGAAGAGCAAGAAAAAATTGAAATGTCTGAACCACATACTGTGACAGTTAACGGATTAAGAGGTGTCCTTTGTTATCACAAAAGAAAAGGCCCCAAGAAAAGCATAAAATGGAAACCTGATTCCGAATTGGAAGAAATACAATACTTTGAACTTGATGAAACTGAACGTGTTAATGTGACTAAAACATTTACAGATATGAAACATTTAGAAAGGATTCATGAACGGGAAGCTTTCCAGAAAGCAAGAAATCTCAGTAACGATGACGTAATGGAAGAAAAAACAAGTTGGAAACCACTAATTCCGATTGACCTGGATGGTCAAATTCAAGTTGAATATGGTAAAAATAGTAAAGAGAAGGATATTCAGGCAATAAGACAGAAGGGAACGTTACAACCACTTTACTTCCACAAATCAATGATTCCTGATTCACCATTGGAACCTGAACCCGAAACTCACCCCTACTCAGAACCAACGGTTATACCTTTAGATGATGTTACAGGTAATCAAGATAACATAAGTGATTTTCGCAATATGCCTTGGCCTGAACCTAAAGGCAATGCACCACCAACATCCAACAGTAACATGAATGTACCATCAATATTTCCTCCTACTATGGCGCAGTTTCCTACCAGCTTTCCTGGACCACCACAATTTCCTGGTGGACCTCCAGGATTTCCAGGGTCTCCGATGGTGCCTGGTGAGTGGCAAAATGGAGTCCCACCACATATGATGCCAAATGGTATTCCTGGTCCAATGCCAGGTCCAGGTCTCACTCCGCCGGGACCCATCCCACCGAATAATATGCCTCCTGGAATTATGGTACCGCCGGAAAATATGATGATGAGTCCAGATATGTTTGGTCCCCCCAATCCTATGTTTCCTGTGCCACCCGAGGGCTTCAATATGCAACAAAATATGTTTCCTATGGACTTTAATATGCCAGGGCCACAAGGGCCACAGGGTCCACCTGGCCCAGAAGGATTTTCCGGCCCAGGAAACTTTCGAGGTGCCATGCGGGGTCGTGGTGCTGGAGGACATTGGAGAGGTAAAAGTGGTGGAAACTGGGATGGTCCACCAAGAGGGCGGGGAGGGCATGCTCGAAGTGGCAGAAAAGTTGTTTGTATATATTTCCAGAGAAAGGGATCGTGTCGACAAGGGGACAACTGTTCTTTTCTGCATCCTGGCGTAAATTGTCCGTATTAGATCATAATATAAACATAAAAAAATGCAATAATGTTGTATATATGTAAATCTTAAAATAGTGTTAAGGCTTGGTCCAAAAGACTGTTATTTGTAAATACAAATGTAAATATTGTAACAAAATACTTTATACGAAATTGGTGCAAGTAAACAAATTATAATTTTTTTTTAGTTTTTTTTCCTAATATTAATATTAGGTAAGTAACAGTGTTTAGTTATTTTACTTTATTTAATTGCAACAGTAATTACTGTCACAGACCACTGTGATAGTCACGAACTCAGACCAACTTGAAGATATTGACTAGGGCTTGCAAATATTCGAAATTTTTTGGTATTCGAATATTCGACTTTTTTCGGGTATTATTCGAATAATTAAAGAAAAACAAAAGCTATTATAATAATCGTATTTTTATTGCCATTCTCTTACTTAGAGTCTAATTTCTCTGAATACAGTTAAAAATTAAAGAACTGCTTGGGATTTCACTGTTATGGCACTAATGCAGTACTATAAAAAGTAGGTGATTAACAAGATAACCACAGCACAATTACACAACAGTCTTATAAATCGAGTTCTGAGTATATTGTCATAATATTTATATAATAATAAAATCATTACAGACATATATTACTTAAAAAAATTAAAAGATTTAAAAGAAAGATTACTGAAGAAAGATTATTCAACTGTGATAGAATACAAATAACTAATCAGTATTAGAATTCATGAGATTAGAATCAGATGAATGCCACATTGTACAAAAGTACACTTACACGTCCAACCGTACCTTCAAGGCAAAAGTAAATAGGTATCTTCTAGGCAAGCGCGTTTAAACTTACACCTGATCACTGCTTTCTTCCAAGCGTGATTGTCGTAAAGTGCAAGTATAAAGTATAAATAAAACCTTTAACGTTCTCCTTGTAAGTGGGACCTAAGAAAACTTGAGTGTGAGAAAGCGTGTCTAAGGAATCATCTTTTAAAGCACATCTTAAATATTTGCCAATGTATTTTGTTTATGAAAACACCATTTCACACTCTACACTTGTAGGTTACACACGAGAAAGTCATACAAAATGAACGAAAGAGAAGGCTCAAATGAACTTGTCTTCTACGGCTCTTCTCTCTCTGATAAATTTGCTATAGACTTCGAAGGAGTTGCAGAATTAGTGTCATATAGCGTTTTGTAACTCTTCTATAAAACTTATTACAAATGTTACCTGGTGTGACTCGTTTTGTTGCTGATGCTGGCGTTGCTGCTGCTAAAGTTGAACTAAGGTTGTCATCTTCTTCATTATCAGAGTTCTGTCTTTTAGAAAAATATCTGTCGTTAATTTTAGTTATTACTTCTGTGATAATGTTATTGCCTGGTAATGGAAAGATAGACGAAGGTGGCTCTGCGTAATATTTACTGATAGATATTGTAGAGATATTTCAATGTGCAGATCAAATTTGGTAGGCGTCTCTAAACAATTCTATTCTTCGGAACTCCGAGTAGTCTGTCACTAATAAATCTGTTCGCCTTTTCAAGTTTTGCAACCATAAATTGAAGGGCTGTTTTCGCAGTAAGCAGATTTGAATTTTCTTGGCACAGCGCCTCTACTGTTGCCTTTACAATATTCAAAGTAAAGTTAGGTTTATAGGTTATAGCCTATATACGTCCCACTGCTGGGCACAGGCCTCCCCTCATTACTGAGAGGGTTTTAGGGCAAGGAAGTGTCCGCCACGCTGCTCCAATGCGTGTTGGCGAACTTCATATGTCTTCGAAATATTTTTTTCTTATTCCTCAGGCATGCAGGTTTCCTCACGATGTTTTTCTTCACCGCCGAGCACGTGGTAAATCAGCACTTAAAATTGCAATTAACAATTTCATTGGTACCGGCGGGGATCGAACCCGGGTTACTCGCATTCTGTTATATTTACAGCGAGCGTTAACCATCTGAGCTACCACGGCTACAATATTCAAAGAAGTGGACAATTCCTGCAGGAAAGCTAGCTCACCTAAACTAAACGTGGTATCTTTAAAATAGGGTCCTTTAATGCCAACAATCTTGTGATCATATCGGCTAACCTGCTGCACCTGTTTTTATAGTCTAAGATTAAACCCCTTTTATTCTGCTCTTCTTGAAGATAAATATCGGGAATCGCTTTTCTGTTGGGTGACTTCCTAAAAAATTTAACTGTGCTTCCGCACTTTCTCTATTACATTTTTAAATTTACATCCCCGTATAAATGTAGGTCTCGGCCTCTGTTTAGATGTTGCTCAACCGCAAATTCTCCTCCCTCACTATCACTGTTAGAGTAAGCATCCTCATTTGTTTCCTCTTTGCTACCTTCAGATTCTTCTCCTTCTTCTTCTTGCTCATCTTGATTCTTTTTGTATATAGCATCCAGCACTGCACATTGAATATCATGTGTGAAACATAATTGACGATACAAAGGCACTTGTCGACTCATAGCACACATCACTCTTGCAGTTACTACGAATGCTATGTCCTCTTCCAAAGATAGATCTTAGGATGCTAACTTGCCCTTCAAAATATTAAGTTATTCCTTTTCTGGATAGTAGATGAGTAGACAAGTAGGTCGTTGGCATACCAAACTCACTCAAAAAGACTAAAACCTCGATGACAAACATCAAACTTAGTTTATTACGAGCAACAACTTAGTTTTTTTTTCTTTAAAATTTCTAATTAATAAAAAAATGGAATAGAGGAAAGCGGGGTACAGGGAACACTTTGTTTTAAAACGATAAAAACCCGTAAACAGACTATTTATTTTAATTTTTACAGTTTGATTGATTGCATGCATCTCAATTTTGGCAATATATCCAATAGTTTTAAACACCAAGTTTTTTTAAAAAGTGGGAACTGATCCACGGTACGCCGCATTTGGGATACATTGAATCTACTTGTGTGGTACTGTCCCAAGTAACATCAAAGCAGTATAACGGGCGCCTTACAGTATTTCTGTATCGTTTTCGCATTTTGAGTTAATTCTATAGCAACATTACAAACGTATATATGAGTAGTTAAGTTGTACCAGTTCTGGCTCACTGAGTCAGAAGTGGTACAACGTTCGTCGACTCACGATCCTAAAAAAAAGGTTTTGGCATGCTCTGATCACGAATCTGCGGTCCCGTTTTTGCGTAGGATGCACGGTTCCGGAGATGTGCAGATCAATTAACTAATATATGATTGACATCCGGTGAGAGCCTCCACCGTCATTAGCGTCCCATTGTTCTTATCTATTGTTCATTGAACACCGTCATTGTCTATTCTTCCTCGGCGCTTGCGTCGGCTTATCAGTGCTATTGTATTATACTTCTTTGTTCCTAACTACAACGCTAATCTGAATCATCAATAAAATAGATTACTTAATTTTGTTACAATTTTTATTTACAAAATACAAAATCTTATTACTTATTGTCTATAAAATAGGAGCGAAACATCTCTACAACAAACAACTATGCATTGAACAACCCTGAAACTTATATAGCAAATACATTAAGCAATATTCGCCACAAACTGAAGTCCACTCATTCTGAATCCTATCAACATTCCAGTTCCATCTTTTACAATTCCCTTTAAAAAACTCTCGATGATATCGTACAGGTGATCGTCCCCACGTCATTCGTATCGATATATACAGCTACCCAATGTGACCCTAGCTTATGATCTGTATCCAAATTGCATATTATATACGTTGGTACGTGGGTATACATGGGCAGTCTATTTGCAGCACAAACATTATTTTCGAGACTGGGGTGAATCTTTGTCAGATGTTGTTGTAAATCTACTGTATCCATGATATTACTGCTATTAGTAGATTATTACAGTACCAATCTACTCAATGACTAACATAGGAATGATCAATTATAGTGATTTCTAAATATTAAATCGCATTCTTTTGTGTTATACAAATCGTATTTGAGTCATCGATACATCGAACAAGACGCAACACGAAGGAATGTTGAGATATGGGACAGAATGTGAGATAAGCTTGTTGACGCATAAAGTTACTATCAGTTTCACTGCAGAAATTCTTTAGATTAGAATTATTACTTACTGGTGCTATATAAGACCGAGCAGCTGCAGTCATGGAGTGAGTGTATGGTCGTTTGACAGCAGTAGATCCATCAATACTACATTTGTGTTACTTCAACGCATCAAAGGCCATGGATGTAAGTGTTTATTCTATTGACAAACTTACTTTCCTTTTGTTATTTTCTTACGTCTTTAGATTTAGTGTTAACAAATTATATTTAAATATTATGTGTATATATGATTAAGCCGTGGTAGCTCAGATGGTTAGCGCAAGCTGTAAATTTCACAGAACGCGACCCGGGTTCGATCCCTGCCGGCACCAATTAAATTGTTAATTGCAATTTTAAGTGCTGATTTACCACGTGCTCGGCGGTGAAGGAAAACATCGTGAGGAAACCTGCATGTCTGAGAAAATTTCGAAGGCATGTGAAGTTCGCCAACACGCATTGAGGCAGAGCGGCGGACATTTCCTAGCCCTAAAACCCTCTCAGAAATGAGAGGAGGCCTATGTTCAGCAGTGGACTTTAATAGGCTCTAACTTTAACTTTTTAACTTTTATGATCAAGTGTTAACAAATTGGTATTAACATGACAACTGTGTTCTTGCAGAAATCATTGAGCTTCGATGAAAATACCTGTATACAGTATTACTACTCGCCACTCTCCCCTCAAAAAGACAGTGGTGACATCTAGATTAATAATAACACATGCGATGGTGGAAAAAGAAAATCGCAATCGATTGATCATTTTTTTGAAGTTGAATCAAAAATAAAAAAGAGGAAGTTGTTATCATCAACTGTAGCACGAGCCGCTAGAGATGGTGTATTATACATTTTTACGAATTCTGACGACGGAGACCAAGCGACGCAACTCATCAAAATTGAAATGTACGATATGAAGAAGCTATCCAAGATTCCAACTACTGATCATTGGAAACATGCTTACACGAGGGTTAAATAAAACGTAAAGACTAATAAGGATAAGGAAGCATCTACGACAACACAAACGCCCTCGTATACAATATTACAAAGAGAATAGCAGAAAGTGAAAAAGTTAAAAAATACTTTTTTAACAATGACAGTCATTAGCTGATCATTAGTGAATGTGATTCTGGTTACTTAAATTACTTCTGTGTACTCATTATATTCTATTTCTAATCCGTTGCTAGACTATAAATATCGGACATTATTTGAAATTGGGTATCAGTTGGTCTACCAACACTGAACTGTTACTTACTCTGCTACCTATTTTCTTCTTTACTATAAGGATGGAAAACTTCAGTGAAGTGTGCACCAGTGCTTTCTTCTCTGCAACCATGGAAGAGAATACGGAACTATTCAATAGCGAATTAAATCAGGAGTTGTCTAAAGTTTGTGATGAAATGCAGAAGGGTCAACTGTTCGATTCATCATATGATGATGAGTTCTACAATCGCTGTGCGATGATTGAAATACAGTTTAAGTAAGTAAAATAAACATTCATTGCGATCATAATTTACACATTGTCTTATACAGTTTTTAATAAATTTAAACATTTTAGCAGTCAACCACAACAATTTGAAAGAGGAACGAAGCGAACGAGCAGCAAAGATCATCAAAAAACCAACAACGGAAGCAGAAGCGCCTACCTCTGCAGGGAACAGTATCGGTAACGATGATCAAGTG